CGGATGGGACTCAACCCAACAAAAGTACTAGAATCGATACTTTACCGAGAGAAGTGTAATCCCACATACAGCATACATCATGTGTTATACAATAGCATAGTAGGGATATCATCCTTCATGCAGATATATCATACACCTCCTCTGACACGTTCTAAACATACAGTTCTTCTCCGCCCAGAGTGTTTCTAATCATACTTCAGTTTTCAGTTTATGATATCGAACAACCGATTAACGAATAACAAATTCTTGTCTAGCCATTTTAACCACCATCAATCTGACGAAAGTTCTGTTGAAGTAAAGAAATGTAACAACTAAATTTCTCGAACTAAATCCAATCTTAGACCAACCGCTAAATGTACAACCCGTGCCTACGATGCGTTCTAGAGCAACTGACAATATTGTGCACAAGGATTGCCACATACATGTGTTGCCACATACAAGTTCATTGTGGGGCAAAGGGTTAAGGACATACTTCCATTACCCTACAAGTGTGTGAGCTAAACCTGAGGCTGATTTCAATTCGATTGATTTGGTTCATCACGTCTTGTGTCATTGTATTATTCAGATAGAACCTCAAGTATGTGTTGTTCAGTATGCGCCATACATATGTCACAGGGAGATAAACTAAGTCCTTCCTGGTATAAAATATCTCATAATGAAGAATTCAAATGGACAATGGGCACAGTTGTAAAGTATGTCTAGACACACATGTTTACTTGTTTTGACAAGTGTATACGTATTTGAAAATCATATAGTATCTACAGCCATTTACCTGACAAACTTTGCAATATCGAAAAGGGGAAAAGATTAATTCGTTTTATAGAATGTACATGAGTTTGGATTCGAACCTGACCTAAGTCGTGAGGGCCAATGATGCTGTCTGTTATAGTGGAGATCCTCTTTCTTAAATACCACTCAACCTGATAGTTGATTTTTTTCCAGGACTTTATGCAATAGAAAGTTACTTGCATAAACGGATGGTGTATGCGTGCTGGTTACGTACCAACGTTGAGACGTTTAGGCACTGCAATATTACGATGCCGTGTAGGTCTTCGCTTGGGTGGATTACCCAGATACGATACTTATGATTTAAGTTTACGATTTATTTACCTTATGAGCTATGTATAACCAGGAGACGTTTTGTGTCTTAATCGCAATTAGGATCAATAAATAGAACAATCCTCTGGTTTTCTTATGATTATCATACATTATTTTTTTGCCGATACTTGAAAATTACTGATGATTACAACATGAACACACATGCTCTCACACGCCCACACACACACGCCCATGCGCACGCATGCACACAAACATACACACACAAACTAAATAAACCAAACTCCAACAACCCCTTCGGGTGTCCTTGTAACAATTTTCGGGAACACATAGTGTCGACACTGATATTCCGTCATCCACTCGTACAATTTTCTCCCCTATTTTGCTCGATCCGCCCGATGAAATCAGGGTGAATAATCTGGATTGGTTATTCTCTGGCGTGTGGTGTCGAGTCTGAGCCAAACATTTAAATTTCATATTAAACAAGTAAATCATTTGTAATACAACGTACACTGCTGGTCATCTTGTGTGGAAGCTTCTATATGTAATGAAGCAGCCTTGTTTGGATATGGATGTAGAGACGAATATGGTGACGATACATACATGATGATCAAATCGAAAGGTCACCAACAGTGGCGTAAACTGCTATGGAAAAGAAACTTTCCAAGATGCAGAGACATGCGTTTAAGGAAAGACGATGCTAGGACACATGGATCTCATTGCTACACCCTAGACCACGATAAGTCCGGGAACACGCACGTCCAGGACAAAATCCCAAACAACTTCGGTTCCGGACGACTCCGCAATGCGATATGCACTCATCTGTTTTCTCTTGAAATGTCACTCAGGCTGAAAACACGTGTAGGTGTTATTTCAATACAAAAATGGACGCGATGTCTGCAGTAATTCATCCAGGAAAGCTGATGACAGGAAATGTGCACGTCATCAGGCACAACATCCGGATATAGAGGTGTTACAGAAGGTGTGAGGGCAAAATACATCAAACCATCAGTATGAGGAGGTAGCTGACAGAGATTGTACTTGGAACAAACCACCCCTGACTACAAATGCCCCGTTAGATTTCACGGTACTCTCGGATCCGATTGACAGCATGTGCGTCAACAGTTCAGGTCAACAAGGAATAGTGACTACAGATTTACTTCCAGATGGAATCCTTTTGAAAATCTCCAACATGACACAGAACTCGGGACTGGATGATCCTTTGGATTCATGTCCAGTTCCACCCAACATTTCAAGAAATATGTTCGATTCTCAGTCAAGTGCATGTGTTAGGAATTCAGTCCTTCAGTACAGGATTTACTTACCACCCTGGCTCTTCACTCGGATTTCTAAACACCGATCACGGCTTTATTGACACCTATCTAATCCCCTGGAAGGACATACACATATGGCTTCCTCACATCCGATTAGTTAAAAATCTAATAGGACAGACTGAAATCTTTTTGATACAGTTGTCGGCTCTACTCTGATTTCTGCTCCTCTGAAAGAAACTGGATTTCAACCAGTTGCTAGATATAATTTATATAAGGAACAGATTCTTGATGCAAAAGGGACATTCTTGACCACCGCTGGAACATCATCTTGATAGGGATGGTTAGGTGGCAGACTGACACAACCACATGGTCTGATGGTGAATGTCTTCCTCACGAAAAGTGATATGGCTCCAAAACACTTCGTACAGACTCCAGCTTGGGCACCTACAAACATGAATGAAGTCGGTACGAACTTCAACGTTGAACGGAGGAGTACCTTTTCCTCCCAATTTGATGATCTGTCACAATTACTGGGCGAGTTGGGCAAACCTCATGGAGGACATCCCATTGGTTCTTCAATACACGACCACACGAACACCACTTCCTTACATAATAGAGGGGCGGTTGGGTAGTCTAGTGGTTAATGCATTCACTCGTCACACCGATTTCGATTTCTAACTTGTGTGAAGCCCGTTTCTGATGTTCCCCTCCTCGATGGTGCTGAATTCTTGCTAAAGGGGCAAACAATCCAACTCACTACTCAGTCACTACGGTATAGAATTGGGATGGGGAACGGGCATGGGCAGGCTAACAGTACGCAGTATAGTGGGAATTCAAGAAAAGGAGACTCAATGATGGGACTAGTTTCTTACGTAATCGCCCCTTTTTCCCTGGTCATCGAGCATGGTGACCACGGTCAGCACACTTTTGGTGGCATAAATACAGAGACAATCAGATAAGACGGATTGATACATGATTCTACACGGTTGTTTGCCATAGTGGTCTACCGGGTGAAGAATGGAAGCCCAACATTTTCTTTGGGAGCTGAAAGCAATAATAGACAGTGTATGGTAACAATGCATAAAAGTGAACGCAGAGTGGTCTCTTCACCAGGAAATATTTGGTTGGATTATCTCAGTATGGGTCATATCTCGTCTGAATTTAGTCGTGACGTGCCTGAATAGAAAGTACCTGTGTTTTTCAGTCTGGGGCAGATCCACATGAGCTTCAGGATGTTGATGCCTAATTCCATATATTCATCGACTGGATCTAGGGGGAGAATTGTGAAGATTTGATACTGGAACGATTACTTAAATGTTTTCCATTTACTATGTCTTCTGCAATTTGTTTGTGATCATTTTACTTAAAGTGACGTTTGAAGATCACAACGTTTCGGAATGCAACCTTAATCCTTCATCAGGTAAGGATATCCTCCGAAACGTTGTGTTCCTCATAATAAAGACGTTCACATCCAAACAATCTCTCTGCCTTATGTGCATCACTTCTAAAATTCATTCAAAGATCTGATACGACATCAACATGGAGATGCTGCAGTTATATCCATCAATAAGTACAAGAAGACCATCAGCATAAGTGTTAAGACAAACAACCATTTTAAGGAAGGGTTTTATTTTTATGACAATTTCTTTATTGCAAGGAACACAATGTTTCGAAGTATATCCTTACTCCTTCACCAGTTAATCCGAAATGTTGTGTTCTTCACAATAAAAACGTTGACATCGAAAAAATCTGTCTTTCTAGTGTGTAAAACTTCTAAATGTCATTGTAAGACCTCAAGGTAAATATTACAAGGGCTAGATGAAGAGACACAAGAATTTTCTGCTAAAAGGCATAGGTGACATATACTGGTTGATCAAATTTATTCATCTTAAGGGACGCGCCTAGAAAGACACTAAATAACTAAAACAAACCAAATAGACGAACGATATGGTTCATTCGATCGTACTATTTTGGTTGCTGCACTTGTGTTAGTCACCTCGTACCATAGGCATAGGTAGAGGAATAGCAACGGAAAGAGGTACGTATATTTTAATTGACAGCGATGTAAATTATTTGCCAATAAGGGACCGTTCATGATATGTGGAATGATGATTTTGTACACATGTTTCTAGGGGTTCAGCAATTTTGTACATAAAATTAGTTTAAAATTATGCTTACATTGTACGGAAAAGGGGAGGGGGTAATTGACTTTGTACATGACATGCAAGGGGTCACTTACTTTGTACATAAAGGGGTCATTCATCATTGTACATGCTAGCCATAAAATCATAATGATGGATGGCCATTTATAAAGCGCCTGTTTCCGAGCACTTGTGCATGCTCAAAGCGCTAACGCATGATTACCCCAGATAACCCAAGCTTATGTGAGGCGCAATAAGGTTAATAGTCACTTAACCCACCGGGTACCGATATCCAGCTGGGTGAACAGGGCCAATATTGAGCAAACCCACTTACCTAAGGTGAGACCACATGTATCACATGTGCTTCGTTCTGGGGCACTGCAAGGTAAGAAACTCTCTAGAGTCAACCTGCCAAACATGGTCACCCATCCAACTACTCTGCGCACTCAACGGTGTTTAACTTCAACTGAATTGTGACTGAGATTCCTGAATTGAAGTATTTTGTTTCTCATCTATGTATGCTCTACAGGTACAAAAAGCAATGTGGCTGCTCTATGTGGTTGTGCTGTTCTTGCTGTTCACAGTAGTTGGTGAGATATTATTATTGTTTGTTTTTTTCATTTTGAACATGAATTTCATGCAACTGTATTATAATGCAAATATGGCAACCTGTAATGCATACTGAGACACTTTGAAAACGCATAACGGAGTTTGATATGATAACAAAATAAAACAAAACATAAGATGAAAACAGTTGTTATTATTTATGAAAAGCACATGGTATAAGCATTCAGCCTGTTGAAGAAGAAATGCAATGTCGACAGGACACGCACACGTTTTCCAAGCTGAGGCACCCGCGTTATCACAGTCAGTATCTCGTGTGGCCTCCATCAGCTGTGGCACAGGCATGGATACGTTGGGCCATGGAGTCAAAGAGACGAATGATAAAGGCCATAGGAATGTTCCTCCATTCTTGTTGAAGAGCCACGGTCGATTCTGCAACGTTGGCTGGCGGTGGCTGACGTCTGTAAACTCGCCTCCCCACGTTCGTCACACAAGTGTTTAATCGGGTTTAAGTCTATCACAATGATTCCAGTTTACCAAAGAAAGGCTTGGTCCACTCTTGCTGCATGGGGGCGGGCGTTATCATGCTGGACGTCGTTGTTGACGGCTCAGCAATGGAATTCAGGCGTGAGAATTTCATCCACATCGCGCTGTGCTGTGCGATTGTCCTGAATAGCGTGAAGATCGCTCATAAAACCATCACACAGCCACCGCCGAATCGATCTCGCTGTCTGACACATACACTGACGTAACGTTCACCATGTCGCCGATAAACTCGTTCTCTTCCATCAACAATGGAAACATAGTACCTCGACTCGTCCGAAAACATAATTCTACGGAAGAAAAGCCGCGGTCGACGTCCATACTACTGTGCAAATCGGCGCCGTCCCTGACGGTGTCGGGGCTGCAATTTGGGACCACGGTAGGGGCGCCGGTATCGTTATCCCGGATGTCAAAGGCGCCGTCTGACTGCAACGGGGTGGATTGGTCTCCCATGTCTGCCAATTGTGTTCGCTGCTGTTGCCGTCCTGAAGCAATCTCGGAGATGCGCCAGTCGAATTTGTCGGTCTTGTCTAGCCGAAGTTGACCTGGTCGAAGACAGTTCTGCAACGCTTCCTGTTTGTTGATGTCTACTGACAAGACGGTTTATGGTTGATTGGTTGACATTAAAACGCCTGGCAACGGCTGCCTGTGAAGTCCCTGCATTGAACAGTCCCAAAGAACGTTCCCGTTCCTGTAAATTCAGTCGTGGCATTGTTTCAAATCGCTTCTGTCCCATTGATGCCATTGCCTTAAATGCATGAGACCTCGGGCAATGCACGTGCATTTCTATTTTCAAGATCACATAGCGTTGTCAATGTAACGTGGGGAATGTGTGTTTTAGCGATTCTGTCAGCGTAAAAAAAACATGCAATGGATTTATCCTCGGACAATAGGTCTAAAACACGCCTTGAATGAGCATTCCTAACATCAGAGTGAGTGAGTTTAGTTTTGAGCCGCTTTTAGCAATATTCCAGCAATATCACGACGGGAGACACCAGACGTGGGTGTACCTATGTGGGGAATCGAATCCGGGTCCCAAACGTTAAATACTTCCTTCACGTTTGTTGACGTTTTTTTGTTTTTATTTAAATATACGCAGTAGATGGAACAAATGCACGTGCGGTACGTGATGAGCGTTAACTTACACCAACCCTACTTGTTCTCGATGTTTCATTTAAAGTGCATACGCCCTTGTAATACAAACCAATAATAGCGATTTGAAACTCGTTTGTTAAACAACTTTTATCATTAGTTGAATAAAATTCTGAGATGTGAATATTCAGTTGGCAAGTTAAAATTATGAGGATTCGCAATCTTAATTTCACTTTATTCGATTTACCTTTTTGTTTAGAGTGAAATTCATCGGTACGTTTTCACTGTAAACAGACTATAGTTCCATAGATTCTTGATTTTAAAGGAAGGGGAAGTGACTCATTTTGTATCTTGAGTTTGAAGTGAAACATTCATGTTATTGCAGTTGGAGAATGTCATTGCTACAATGCAAGTACCTGCACAGCATCTCCGGCAACCACTTGTCGCCAATATGGCGGTTGCATGAAGGGATGGTTCGGTCCGACCTGCCAGAAACGTGAGCAGTGATGTTGACATCATCAATAAACACATGCATTCTCTCTTTCCCAATCCAATTTCTCAAATTTCCGAATTTCTCGTAGCTTATTTTATTTCGAAACAGAACCACATTTACATCGATTTTGAAGTTTTTTCAATGCGTTTTACACGGAACAGCATAGCTATGAGTGTCTCCTACTGATGTCCTGAATATTTTCTGTTGTCTGTTTACAGTTTAAAGGAAGGGGAAGTAACTCATATTGGTTGAAGGTCAACTCAAAATGTCAATAAGCTGCAAATGCAAAATTACCTAGCAACGGCGGTTGATCTACATCAGATACACCATTATCACATTTTGTCTACAGTTTCGTTTTCAAGCGTTGCGATGTATTACACATAATATCAACTCAAAGCAGGAAGATAACATTATCGAGGGACCGAAACAGGAAAAGAGGACCCTGGGAAAAGTGCATGCACTAGGAATTAGTGTCTTATGCAGTCTGTTCTACTGATGTCCTGTACATTTTCTGTTGTCTGTTTATCAAACAAGTTCTCCTACCATTCGAACGTGACCATTTTCACAGGGTTATTCTTAAATTGCTTAAACGTTTAATACCACTATTTCATGTTAATACATGAGAAATGCATATGTTAATGTATATTGTCTCTAGATTGATAATGGTCATTTAAATTATTCAAATATATCTGGTTTAAATGAATTCTTTCTTCAGAAAACGTTGCATTGCTAAGACCTGTGACTCAGACCTCCATCTACTATGAACGTTTTGCAACGTCCCAGCCACTGAACCTCACAGCAAACTACGCGGTGGATGGAATAGTTTCAACTCGCTTCATTGACAGTCCGTGTGCACATACTGACGGTGGAGACATGACTCCATCATGGACTGTATTTCTCAATACAAGCTGTCATGACAAAATACACCACATGAAACTTTATCTTCGCAAATCACGTGAGTACTGTGGCGTCTATATCAACATTTTACGAATTATGATAAATGCAGAACCTGAAATGGATACTTTTTTGAGATCGTCCAATATTTCAGGTCCAATTGCCAATAAAGTATAAACGTTGTGAAGTTAGCAAACTGAAACATCTAAATAAACTCATCACCGATATTTATCATATTAAAACTACGAAATGTGTGTGATTACAGACCCAGAACGAAATGATGGCATGGTGATTCTGGTGGACGACCAGATCTGCTACGATTGGTCATCAACTGGACGACCTGACAATGTCACAGACGTCACCTGCAGACAGCCACTATCAGGAACCTCAGTTACCATACGGACGCCACAGCCTTCTCTGACTCTGTGTGAGGTGCAGATATTTGGTATGTACCCAATTATATCCAAATACCATAGCACCCAGAACTGCAAAAACAAAGTTTTTTAGTATGTTCATCTGACTTCTCATCTCAAAGGTCACATAAACCCTAGGGGGTACAAATACATAAATCACTAACTGGCATCGTTATAAATAAAAAAAACCGTCATTAAAACTACTCATTTCGACCTTTAATTGACTTAAATCGACCTTTTTGACAACAGTGCACAATTCTCACCCGTGAACGAAATTTTAACCAATCAGAGCTTTGACTGACTGAGTTTGGTTTTTTGCCGCTTTTAGCAATATTCCAGCAAAATCACGGCGGGGGGACACCAGAAATAGGCTTCACACATTGTGCCCATGTGGGGATTGAAAACCCGGGTCTTCGGTGTGACGAGCCAACGCTTTAACCATTAGGCTACCCCAACGCCCCGGAATAGCTTTGAGGGCCGATGCAGAATTCATCTACATTTTAGGGATTAAATTATCTTGTTTACAGGCTTGTATAAACCTGAAATCGTGACAATTGTTGTGGAAAATGAAAGCTATATGTTCTCACAATCTACTGTCATTTAATTTTGTCTCCTGCTTTGCCTAGTTTCCGAGTTACAACTTGTTTTCATAGACGATTCTGTCAAAATCGATTGGTGTCGTTAGGCCCTATTTGTATAATGACTGATCCAAATTGATCCCATTTATGTGTTTTTTTACCTCCATATTTAATCATGTCATGTAAAAATCTGTTTGTATTCTCAAAACAGTGTCGGCCCATAAATTTTCACATGCAATACAGCAATTAATACTCCCTTGTTGTAACCCGTGTTAGGTGGTATAAACCTACACATGTTATTTGTCATCATTCACTTGATGGTCAGTTAATGAATTTATAACAGGTATAATTAGTGGTAACACACTTAGATTACCCGACAAAGGTTCCCATTTGGCATTTCTTGTGTCTGGACTAAATATTCAACATTATAAACATCGATCAAAGGATTAACAGATAACACGCTGATTGATTAATTACTTTTATCTTACACAGCGGAATTGTCAAATGGTAGTGTTTATGTATGTAGATTTAATAATCTCTACTGAATACACTCTGTCGTGTCGGTGTCTGCGTAAAAACAACGTCCTTCTTTCAAAGGATTAACCGCCAATACATTGATTGATTGCCCATTATTGGCTAACTAAATTACTGTTTTTAAAGAAAGGCGGACATTATGCAATTAGTTGCCAGGTGTGCTATCTTGGGTGACCAATGAGACTATAAACCAATACCTGATTTATCACTTTTTCGTATATTAAACTGTTAAAATACACATCATTTGGAACAGTTTTGTGGATATTGATGGATACATTCCTCGAACATGGTAATGGCCTGATATTGTTGCTATAACTTTAATCTGTTTTAATTTTAATATTTGCATTTTGTTTTTATTCATTTGTCGTAGCATTCAACAGAATCATTGTTTTCGCCGTGAAGTGTAATGAGACAGACAACATGCACTAGGGTGTGTGTGCGAATTATGATTCACACTGGCAAACTATAAAATGTCTGGATATTACAGTTCTGTTATAAATTCACTATAAGTATCAGCAGATCGTCTGCTTTTTATTTAGTTTCAAAATGCATACAAGTGTGATAATAAACTAATTTGGATTATAAGACCAAATATAAAGACGCACATTGACTAGTATCTACATACTGGTGAGTGGACATTAACCATGGGAATGTAGCAAGAAATTTATCGCGTAGTATTGTGGATAAATGGTATTTAGGTTTGTTTTCACCGAGTTACAAAATCAAAACTAATTTCTACTGGTAGTAAAATATGCATTTTATTGATGGCCATTAGGATTTTGCATGACATAGCGTATATCATAACAATTTCTCTCGTGGCAGCGAGGTGGGTGTCAATATAATACTACTTACAATATTATTGTTACTTCGATCACAACCTCACTTCCGAGGAAGAAATCGTTATGTTACAAGTTGTGTCATAGAAAATCTTTATGGTGATCAATCATATGCATAATTTACTACAACTAGTAAGTAGTTTTGATTCTTTAACTTCCGTGAAGCGATCTGAACACAAGTAAGATATGGTTTCAGGCTTCCACAACGCTCGCTTCGCACTCACAAACATAACCCATTTAGCACGAACTGCGGGGTCCTGTGGAAATCTTTGCATGGGGACACCATCGCCCGACCCCTAGGAGCAATTGACGACAAAGCAACGATTCGGCATGTCGTCGTTGATGTCGAGAAGTCATCAAAATGATGAGCGTGCTACACATTTTCTATACAACTAACTGAAAATCGTTCCTCATATGACGTCACTGCAGTGCTCTGGCGACAGAGTTACGTAAACTGTCTGTGGTTTCGTTGGCGGGCGAGAGGGAAGCAGGCGACATTTTGGCCACTTTTAATCGCTCGGTATTAATTAACCACAAGTTTTAAAGAATAAATTTGGTGTTCCGCATAAGACTAACCACAAATCTTTCATATGTAATGGTTAAAAGAGTAACAAAAAACAAAGTTTAGTGGTTCTTTAAGATGTTGAAAACTACTTTCACAACTTCATCTTTCATTAATATGTTATATTGTTAACAAGGCCTCAAATAACATCAATTTACATAAATTGTTAGAACCACGTATAAGGCAAATGTGATAAATCTTGCAAAACCAGTGCTAGTAACCTTTGGCTTGACTCTACAACGTAAAGACATGACCAGTCCCCGGCCGTTTGTAATGGATTTCAAAGCAACATAAACATCTGGTCAAAGAGAGATCTATTAGTTGATCCTGCAATGTACCACCAAAGCCCTGTCTCAAAGATTAACCATTAGTAGAATGGGATAGACAGGGTGGATTTAAATAAATTTCCGTTTCATGGATGGAGTTCAAAGTTGAGTGCATTGTTGACGGTGATTGGTTTATTGGTACAAACATTTCAGGCTTCCCGGGAAAATGAGGACTGACCCATACGTTGGGCTGACCATGTCACAAAAAGACATTGTGACACTTGTATCTTGTTTTGGTGACGAGTGCTTACGAGAAGAAATGTGTACTGGAAACCCTTTCTTACCTTAACTGTCAACACATTATTGCTACACGCGAATGACGAGGGAGTGTAATTGAGCCTCTTTGAACATTATGTCAGCGTGTATTTCAGTGTTCAACGTTCACGCATGTGACGACCAAAGCCACTTTTATTTCATAGTTTGCAGTGACGGCTGGTTTGGTGTCGACTGTGACAAACAATGTCACTGTCTGAACAAGATGGACGTGTGTGACAAGATCACTGGATACTGCTCTAGTGGATGCATTTCTGGATTCACCGGTACAAATTGTCAGACACGTACGTACATGGTAGCTATTACCCAGAATCACCAATGAAAGCTGTGTCGTGTATTATTACTGACAATAGAGGACGTATATACTCTTGCAAAAAGTAGGTGAATATCATTTTTAATTTACGAACAAAATATCGCAGATATCGGAGTCAATCAATGTTGATATGATAATAATGACTGTTTTGAGAGTGCATCACCACTTGCACTTCCTTATGACCACAGTTGTTTGACAGTAATCGCCCTTGAAAGATGATTGGTGTATGAAGTGAAATTTGCATGTGTACGATTTTCATTTTCAAGCCAAAAAAACTGGCAGGAAACGAACACTAACAACTGTGTGATGCAAGATTGTCAAAGTTAATGCTCCACGGTGATAAATTTACCTTCTTGAAAACCGTCAATATCAAGAATGACACCCTATGTACGTGTATTGGGCTACTGCGTTGTGCATGTGCATTCCATGCGTTATGTTTAGGGATGGTGATAAAATGGTGCGTTCATAAGATGTCTGTCTTTGAAAGGTTTGTTAACGTTAATAAATCCTATCCAAATTGAAATTTCAGGTTCCCTTACTTTGTTTTAAGAGTATAGTAAACACGCTCTTTTTCAAAAGGCTACAAATACATTAAATGCGAAACAAAAGGTGAGAAGTTTTCAGTTTTGAGGAGGAGTTTGGCTTTACGCAATACAATACATAAGTGTGTATTTCGTTGTTTAACGTACACACATGAAGGAACAAATACAATCTTTGTTATATAGTTTGCAGTGACGGCTGGTTTGGTGACAACTGTGACAAACAATGTCACTGTTTGGACAATACGGACGTATGTAACAGGGTGACGGGACACTGCCCTAGTGGATGCACTCTTGGATTCAGCGGCGCAAATTGTCAGACACGTACGTGCATGTTATTATTGAATCAGAATATCCAATAAACAAAGTTGCAGTGTATTTTCAACGGCACTGTAGAAGTGAAGAAAGTCGTGAAAGAGAATGAGTATATATATTCAGCCAAACTGAAAACTTGACACTCGGGATGTTTTTGGACTAGATCATTTATTTTAGGTTTAGGACAATAGTTTAGTTGTACATATGTTGTTCATAGAACATCTTGGCATCAAAGGGGAAAAAACGCCGGAACTCTTTAACAACGATAAGGTTCATGAATGAAGGTCACAGTGTGGAGAACATTTTGATTGAGGTCTTCTGTAAGGGTTGTGGCCTCCTCTAGCGTCCTTTACAACTACAACGTCTCCTTGTGGATCTTAGAACGTCAGCAAACACACCCCGAGGAGACGTCGCCATTGCTAAACAAGGGGACGTTGGATATCTTGCAACGGCTGTGGTGGATTGACTTGCTGACGAACACGTCGACCCAGCTCGTCCCAGATGTGTTAGATATCATTGAGGTCGGCGCTACGCGACGGCCAATCGAGAGCTTGAACACCGGCATTTCATAGAAAATTCTGTGTAAGATTTGCCGCATGCGGTATAGCGGTCTCTTGGAACATCAGTCAAGGGTCATGTCTCTGCATAAAGCAGGACAGGTTGCAAAATCTGATCCCTGTACGGGATCTCGAGATTCGTCGCTGAAGACAATCGAATTCCACTGTCTTTCATTGAACATTATGTGTCGATTGCGGTGGTGAAGAGGCGTTAAAATTGTTCCATTATGGGCTCCATTATGGGCAGGGATTCGATTTCTGGCTGTTTGTGCAGTTATCCTTCCACCAAACATCTCCCTTCTTGTGGAAGTTGCAATAACAAATTTACTCACATGGGTTGTGTCTGACTCGTGAAGATCCGGTTAGAAATGGTCTTCAGCAACCCATGCTTGTCGTAAGAGGCGACTAACGGGATCGGGTGGTCAGGCTCGCTGACTCGGTTGATACATGTCATCGTATCCCAATTGCGGAGATAGATGTTCATGCTCTTGTTCACTGGATTGTCTGATCCAGACTAGATTATTAATAGACCGCCGCTATAGAGTTGACTATTTCTGAGTGCTGTGCAAAACTAAACTCACTCACTCACTCTGTGTGTCTGTTTTTAGAGTCAGCATACCGACACACTGAGTGTTTCTATTTAAGCTTCTTGGTAGTCAGCCATAAACACAGAGTCAGACCAAGTACTGACGTCAATATGCTACTTGGTACTTTCCCATGACATTATGAGATCATCCAGACGACATTTTGTCTTTAACCACACCAATTCTTTAGGCGCAATCGCTTGCGGTGGTATGTAGAGTCCGGAACGGGAACCTTAGAAACTGGAGGTAAATCTGGTTCATTAATGAGTCACGACTTCTTATTTACCGGCGAGATGGAAGACAGCGTTTTGGCCGTCTGAGTAATGAACATTCTGCCCCAAATTGCATCGTCTCAAATCGCAAGCGATTGCGCCGATGGAAGTTTCTCAAAACAGGGGCGACTACTCGCGTTCTTTGTCGAATCCCCACTTCAAGCAATCGATTTCCTGACAGTGTGGACAAAAATTCGTCTCAAACCAGGAATGCTTTGTGCAGTCTCCACGACTGTGACAAGACGATGCAGTTTGGTGCATTCGACAGGTCGACAGATTCGATGGAGACAGTGTCATGGTGTGGGGTAAGATATGGAACACACAAAGGTCTGATTTAGTGGTGGTTCAGAGGAATTGGACAGCAATTCGGTGCATCAGCGAAGTCCTTGCACGTCACATGCTTCCGATTATGGACCGACAAAGGGAGATGTTTCAGCATGACAACGCTACTTCACATACATCACGCGTCACGGTCCGCTACCTTGCCAATTCTAACGTCAATGCCTTGTTGTTATTGCAAATTACACTAGATTAATATCATTCAAATATATCTAGTTTCTATGAATTGTTTCATAAGGAAACGTCGCTCTGAAAAGACCCGCAACTCAGACATCTGTCTACAATGAAGATCCTGAAACTTCCCAGCCACTGAACCTGACAGCGGACTACGCGGTGGATGGATTAATTTCAGATCAATTCAGTGACAGTCCGTGTGCTTCTCGCACTGGTGATGGAGACATGACTCCATCATGGACACTAGTTCTCAATGCAAGCAGCCATGAGAAAATACACCGCATGAAACTCTATCTTCGCAAAACATGTGAGTATTGTGGAAGTCTATATCAACATTTCATGGATTAGGACAAATGCAAAATCTGAAACGGATGTATTTAGACCATCCAATAATTCATTTGGAATTGCAAAAGAGGTACATTCGTTGTGACTTTAGCAAAGTAAAACATCTAAATAACTCACAGTTAGGCAACACCGTTCACCATTGACATTTATCACAAAATAAGTTCAATTGCAGCACCAAGTCGAAATGATGGCATGGTGATTCTGGTGGACGGCCAGATCTGCTACAGTTGGTCATCAACTGAACCTCCTGATAATGTCATGGAGGTCACCTGCAGACAGCCACTTTCAGGAAACACAGTTACCATACGGACACCACAAGAGTTTCTGACTCTGTGTGAGGTGCAGATATTTGGTATGTACCCAATTATATTCAAATATCAGCAAAATAATCCAGAGGTACCAAACTTTGTTAATGGTTATGTTCATCTGACTTAAAATAGTTCAGACTTACATACTGACTGACTGAGTTTGGTTTTACGCCGCTTTAGCAACATTCCAGCTACATCACGGCGGACTTACATACTACTTATATATTTCACATCTGTGTGATATTCTAGTGGTTCCTGCTGTTCTTCCTACACAAGACAAGATATATATGCACTCCTGGATTCATATATATATATATATATATATATATATATATATATATATATATTGATGGTGAATTTAAAAGTTGTTTTAGTCACGATATGCCTGAAATATTGCCGATGTGAGGTAAATCCTCCCTCACACCCTCACTCCACTCACACACACTCTCACACACTCACACTCTCTCAATTTCTCACTCACTCACTTGTACTGGATTCCAAAGCAACACATTCATCTGTACAAAAAGTGATATATTGGTTGGTCTTGCAAATGTAGTACAAAATCTCTGTCTCACAGATTAAAATGATATTCAATACTAGACAAGAATTTTCCTTTATCCATAGAAAGTATTTGAGAAAGCGGAATTAATACCATGTGGATTTAAAGTTCAATTGTTCGTCGATGTTTTCGTTGGGCCAACGATGTTTTGTACACTCTGGCCAAATCTTGTTAGTTTATGCCTCAATCAGCAATATCCTACTACGTCGCAGTGGCCTGTTAATGAATAACTCTTAGGAATCAAGTCAAAGAACAAATGATATACAACCAGATTATTCACAGATCATGACCACCCGAACCATTCCGGACCAGCACATGCTATAGGTGGCGGGAAAGTTGATCTTTCAACATGTTTTCAGTGTAATATTTCCAGTGTATTTAGGCGACCAATACCATCTTTAATATATAGTTTGCAGTGACGGATGGTTTGGTGACAAATGTGACAAACAATGTCACTGTCTGGACAACAAGGAAGTATGTGACAAGGTGACGGGACACTGCTCTAGTGGATGCACTCCTGGATTCAGCGGCGCAAACTGTCAATCACGTACGTACATGTTAATTATTACCAATAAAATTAGATGCAGTGTATTTTCACAGTCAATGAACATATATTTAAACAAAAGCACTCGCTCCTTTTCAAAATTTCACAAGTACATTAAATATCTGACTAAAATGAATAGTGTTTAATCTGTTCAAGACATACTCGAATGAAGGAGTGTCGCATTACGTATCCTTACACAATGTGCCATTGTATATTTCGCTGTTTAACGAACATACACGACTGGATACTTTCTGTAATAAAGTTTGCAGTGACGGCTGGTTTAGCGACAACTGTGACAAACAATGTCACTGTCTGGATAACAAGGAAGTGTGTGACAAGATCACTGGACACTGCACTAGTGGGTGTATTCCTGGATTCAGCGGAGCAAACTGTCGAGACACGTACGTAAGTAAAGCAAGATTTATGGATGTCAACTTCTTGCTTTTCTTATGCATTCCACTTCGAAATGCACTTCAAAGATTAGACATGCACGTACATGTAGTTTTTTTACCACACTCACCAAAAAGGTGCAATGTATGTAAAAAAAATGATTCAATGTATATGACAAACCCACTCATTTTCGAAATGCCACATTTACATTAAACGTTTGACAATGATCAGTAGATTGTTAGATATACTAGAGTGAGGGACAGTTTTGATTTACGTATCCTTGAGCAATATTTCAGGGTTCACTATCACCTGTGTTTAATAGTTTGCATTGACGAGCTGGTTTGGTGACAACTGTGACAAACAATGTCACTGTCTGGACAACAAGGAAGTGTATGTGACAAGGTGACGGGACACTGCTCTAGTGGATGCACTCCTGGATTCAGCGGCGCAAATTGTCAAACACGTACGTACATGTTGTTTACTCAGAATTACCAATAAAATTAGGTGCAGTGTATTTTCACAGTCAATTAAAAATATTTTTAAACAAAACACTAGCTCCTTTTCAAAATGTCATTGTGTATTTCGGTGTTAAACGAACATACACGACTAGATAATTACTATGTCTGAAATAAAGTTTGCAGTGACGGCTGGTTTGGTGGACAACTGCTGACAAACAATGTCGCTGTCTGGACAACAAGGAAGTATGTGACAAGATCAATGGACACTGCTCTAGTGGATGCACTCCTGGATTCAGCGGCGCAAATTGTCAAACACGTACGTACAAAATATCCAATAAACAAGAATGCAGAGTATTGTCGACGACATCCTAGAAGTGAGGAAAATCGTAAAAGGGATGAGTATTTCTTTAATTTTAAAACCTGATACTCCCACCGTGAAAACCAAACTTACAGGTATATGATCATATAACTTTCCGAATATAGTATTCATTGTTGACGGTACATATTATTCTTTGCTTAACAGAAACAAGCATTAGGCCAACTAAGAAATGAAATTTGTCCTTGTACAAAAATAGAGATTTTCTGATTATCTGAGATGAAAACGTTTTAATCCAACAATGCCCCAATATTAATTACATGTGATATCTAGATTTCATAAATATTACACTAAATCATATGGTACATTTTGTATTTCCCTTTCTCAGTAAAGTACACATTCAAGCAGAGACTACATTAAAACTGCTTAGTATGTTATGCAAATTTGAGGGATTGCCTTCAATATGTTACGGTTCTTAATTCCACTTAATTTTTGCCTACATCAAACAGATTTGAACCCAGCGATTGACCAAGGCTCTGAATTTGCACAACCACTTCATTTTGTTGCGTCTTTGGCAATAGTTTGCATGTAACGTCCTTACATGTTTGCAAATCAGTAATTGCCAACATTGCATTTTCAGCCCGCTCCATAAATACTGACCAACGAGCTTCTAGTCCCATGACGTTAGCAGTTGGAATTTCATGTGGAGTTGTCATATTGATCATTGTGCTGGTGGCTTCTCTGTGGATCAGGAGGTGAGCAACAGCGTATATCGGCCTCTTATTAGTAATTGAGTTGTTATTGAATGGGGTGTTAAAATGTTCTTTCTTTTTACTTTCAAGATTTATAATACGGGACAAGGAAAGACATGTGTACAGTCTATCCAATGTCCTGGTATGTACAGGAACCGCCTGAAAACAAACCAGACACCAACATGTTGCCGGTCGATGTTTTATAAATGTATCTTATTCTCTATGTATTCAATGTATATCCAGTTAACACCTATTATTATCATCCAAACATGTAGTATAACATCTATAGAATAAAAGAAATCTGTTGTTTTGGTGGGAAGATTGTCAGAACTTTAATTGTTGATTTTTTAAGAGTACGTACGTGAGTGAAGAGTATTAGAAAAATGTTGTGAACAGGTGTCCATAGGAACCACCGGTAGTAACTCAGAGAGAGAACATAAAGCAAATAACACCCAATACCCACTTCAGTCGTTTCTAACTGAAATCTGTGATTTCGGCGAACTTATTCTGTCCCGCGATTTGAATGTGTACTTTTGTTATGACACAAATGATATGAAACGGTTGCCATTCTTATTGCCTTGAATTCAAAACCACATTCTCGAGGACACCTCAGGTGGCGACTTCATGTTTTGCATCAACTGTAACTCTTCTTGATGTTGCTTATGTAGGTCAGTCTATTCAAATACAAGAGACGATCTAGTTTAACGAAAGAGTTCTCTTTTGCTCAACATGTTACCATTCCATGACGCATGGAAATGTTGAATAAAGTTTAACTTTGCACATTTCAGGCTGCAGATGAAAATCAAAGCGTTAGAAACGAAACGTGATGAACCGTACGCCTCTCTGGATCAGACCACAATGGAACAAATATCAGAAACGTGTTATACGGAGATGGCAGAGGACAGATATGATGCAAGATATATCAATTCACCAGTGCGATAAATACTCTGGAAACAACTTCAATGAAATGTTGAATGGATTCACAATAATCGCTTATTCTTAACCAAAGCATGCAGTCTTTACTCTACCCTTGTTCTCTGTCTGTGTTGCTTCCACTTTATAGCATAATAGCAACTTGATTACAAATCTCTGCCAACAGCAGGATCGACTGTACGATTCCGATATACCACGGGCTGGCATGTATATAAAAATGAAACACTATCAAATGGTAATAATGCTGGAAAACATGTACAGCAAGGTCAACTGTTCACCCGAAAAAGGATACATACAAAACGACGTATGTCAGACTTAGGTTGTTTATGCATAAAAAAACAACAACAAAACAAACAGCATCAAAACAAAACAATAGACAAAGTATTTTCTTCCTCCATTGGCTGATATGAATCATGTTGAACTATTTTTATTATTTGCGGAATGATAGATCCTCGAAATAAATCCGTTTGTGCACAAATGACTTCTGATGATATTTGCCTTCATCTTTGCCAAACTGTCCTGAACCTCTGTAGCAAAAGACGTATCCATAATCATTGTTGTAAAACGATGCGTCAGCTTTGAAATGTTCTCCACATATCTACCATAAAATGTTTACTGAAGCCTTGACGTTTGGAACCTTTTTGAACAACTATTGAGCGTGATAGTATGGCGCAGTTTGAAATCTCGATTGCATTTAAAGTTAAGAAATATAGGCCTGGGCTACAGGATATTACTGGTCATACTTGACCACTGGAAAGTTAAAATCATCCCTCTCGTATCACAGTCTTGATGAGATTTCTTTGTCGCTCTGACGCTATGCATATATCTCATTATGAAACACACGAGAAGGTCTCACTAGGTGTGCCTTATGTGAAGTTATTCAAATTCACTGTTTGATGGTTATTGAACGATAACAGACAATCAATATACATTGAGACTTTTGTTAAACTTTGCAAATTACCTTCTTTTGATTTTTGCACCAGTTGGGATGCATACTTCTTGTCCACATGTTACTTCTCATTTTTCAGAGATGTTATTTATGTTCTTAAACTATATCACTTCACATATTATTTCTCAATCAACTTCAAATGACATTTGCTTTCTAATTTCTTCCATTGTCTGAAACTCTTAAAATATATATGTAAGTGTATCTATGCTCACCACCTTACTAAGTAAGGATGAAGTCACTGACATATCTAGAGGTGTTATGATGTTGTTGTGTGAGAGGAGTATGTGTGGTGTGGTGTAGTGTGTGTGCGTCTGTGTGTGTGTGTGCTGTGTGTGTGTGTGGTACAGTTGGTTGCAATGTATATTGTTAAAATATACCTATCTAACATTGTTATATTTTTAGCTTTTACGTTAATGAGTTGTAAAGACAACACTTTCAGTAAAATGAGTGTTTTCATGACAGGTAATAATAAAAGGGGTATGTAAAAACTATCGGAATATTTAACCACTGCAGTTTCACTATATTGTTAGTTATATTTTTTTGTTTAAAATACAATTTTGATTTTAATTTTTCATATGCGTTAAATTGAAATAGTGATTAAAAATAGTGTTAAAAACTAGTCAACTTGGGGAATAATATCAAACAGATACTGGGACAATATTTAAGAAACCACTGATAGGAAGCATCGAAATTATTGTTACCTAGGAAACAGCATATTGTAAATCCTAACGACTGATGATCATGATTTCATGAATACATGTATATATGGCATAATGACTGCATGCATGACTGCCATTTTCTACAATACAGAAAAGAAATGATTATTTATAGATATGACACACCATATGTTCTCTGACATCTGATATACACACATATAACATATATAAAACAATGAGTGTAGGATTATGCAGTGTACCGCACTATTTTGCAATTATTTATGTGATAACGTTTGCTAAAGGAAATGAAAAGCCATAATATGAATTGTCAGTCTCGTTGATCTCTTAAGCGTTAAAATTATTTATGGTGGGGCTGTTTACGTCCCTTGGCCTTGGGACCGGTAAACGTTAAGGATCGACTGAGTTTTGCTGTTTTGTCGACATGGATTGTAGCCTGTTGTATTATTTTGTAGATTAGGTTATAGTTATGCCTTTAACCACTCATATGACAACAAAACGACAGCAATGTGAACTCTCAGGGTTCAAATTACCAAATATAACAGCGAAGCGTACTTAAAATGAGAAATCTGTCCGATATCTTTGACAGTTCATTCACGCACTGAAGTTTTAATAAAATCTCAGTAGCCACGTTGTTTACATCTTAGGGCTGCATATAGAAAGTTCAAAGTAAAACATACGTTATGACATCGTCTATTATGTTCACTGGGGATTCATTTGCGTATGGTCGATAACGCACACACGGGCACAGAAAAGGTGCCTATGATTCTCTTAATGGGCCCACGCCTGTAGGGTAAGAACAAAACAGCACAACCCTGCGGCGGTACGTAAGTTCTGCGTGGGAAGGGTGTCAGTACAGACAGTGTCGTCTCATGAATACATCCATGATTTATTTGTTTTGCTTTTTTCAAATATTTTTTCTATGTTATGACAAATTCATGAATTTAGACTGAGTCCTGTTGTCAAGGACGTGCACTGCACATTGTAGCTCTTACTTTGACTTTGGTGCTTTACTACGAGGTAAAACATATGCCTAATGTACATCTTTAAACAAATTAATCTGAATACAAATTTAATAAGCAAAGAAACTTTTTTATGGATGCACACAACAAAAATTTGGAAAACATATCCGTGAAATCAACCACAGTCCATCGATATCGATTGTTAACCGAGACATTGAGTTTGTTATATGAAGCACATGAGTTATACTTCATAATCATGTATTTCGTTGACCCCGATTTTACACTGATGTCTTTGTTACTGATGACAGGAAGAAGTTGTGAAGCCGAATGTCATCTTTTTCCGTGACAGTGCAAGCTCTTGGCCATGATAGACACGGTGAAGCTATACGTCGGTCATAAGCTGAATATCATGTTTTTCCGTGATAGTGCAATCTCTTTGTCACTGATGCACACTTTGAAGCTATACGCCGTTCATATGATGAATATCATGTTTTTTCCGTGATAGTGCAAGCTCTTGGCCATGATAGACACGGTGAAGCTATAATATCATAAGCTGAATATCATGTTTTTTCGGTGACAGTGCAAGCTCTTTGTAACTGATGCAAACGATGATGTAATACGTCAGTGAGACGCTGAATATCATGTTCGCTTTTCCACGATAGTGCAAGTTTAGCGTCACTGATGTTCACGATAAAGTTATACGTCGGTTTGACGCTGAATATTATATAGTGCGAGGAGTTTGTCACTGATGCACACGATGAAGCTATATCTAAGTTAGATGCTGAATATCATGTTTTTCCGTGATAGTGCAAGCTCTTGTGCACGATGACGTTACATGTCAATCAGACGCAGAAAGTCATGTTTGGTTCACTCACCTGATAAGTCTTGGCCACGAGTCGATCCAAAAGAGCTCATGTAAACTGTTCAGATGAATATTGAGATAATGCTTTGACATTGTTTATTGGAGATGCTTTCATCCTATCTACGGACTTGACCAATTCAAGTAAAATATGTTCAGATACATGCAAATGTTTCCAACGGTTTTTGTGTTTCTTGAATATTAGACGGGTCTTTAAGGAGCAAAGATGAATTTTCCCGCCGCACTCAGCAATATTCAGATATAAGGGCGGCTTGTACATAATCGTGTCTGCACAAGACAATCCAGTATTTAAAACCATGAGCAATGATGAACGCAACTGGTTTTCAATGATATACTGTCAAACAGACCTCGAGCCTGACGACCTGATCCAAGTAGTCGCCTCTTACAACAAACATAGGCTGCCCTGCAGGTTCAGATACTCCGTTAAAAGCGGAACCGACTATCCAGTGTAGAGTTAAGTCAGATTATATTTTCTGTGATGAATACTGTCAAATTGATAAACAAATGTGCGTAACTTACACCATGGGTGATGGTGTCTATATGAAGAGTGATGTCATTTTAACGTATATAACTATGTGATGAGCAAGACGGTCTACTCCCATTTGTGAGAGCTCCCAATTGTGAGACTCCCAGTTATGAGACAGTGGAGTAGGTAATTAACAAAGAAAACACACCATACTCCCCTGTCTGATAGAATGGATTAACCCTAGCTAATTACTGATTTGCTATGTAACTGAATCTTGTGGAAGTCTTAATGAAACTTTATAAGATAAATTGATTAACATACACTTTGTGTAGGTAACTTCGTGATCATTTGAAAGAGAAATTAATTTACCTACTCAGATTTACATCCGTCTCCGAAACTACAAGATATAGTTTAAGAAATAACTCTGAAATACAAGTTTACAGTCGAACTGCCTCTTATGCCAAATACTTTTTACCCGGCACTACCCGTTATAACCTGGATGCCTTTTTGAACGGAAACAAAGAATGTACTCCTTGTGTAAACCAGAAAATAGTTGAATCTGTCCACGATTATATCATCAAGACACAACGTTTCAAATTTTTCTCAAGAAAATACTTAAATTAACTCAAAAACCTTCTCATGATTGATTTATATTCCTACAATAGCTTGTTAGACACACAGAACTGTAACTCTCTAATTATGACTACTTAGAGAATAGTTGTATTTGATGTAAACTTAAAAATAAATTTATGCAATAGTCAATATCGATGACGTCACATCCTCCATTTCATTTTGTATTTTATGTTGCATGGGTGCTGTGTTAAGAAGTAAGCAGTAATGCTTGCTCACCAATCCCAATTCATTTTCATAAATAATAATAAAATATGTTTAAACCAAAATGACTTTCAAACTTCATAATAGTCTATTTCTTCTGTGTAAATAGAATCTTTGATAATCTATTTCATTAATCTACTCATCAATGACTCCTGTGGGTACTCTTCAACAACTGGGCTGATCCCACTTTCATTGTAGGGATGTGGAAACACCACCTATGTGCACTGAACCATTAATTTATGTGTCTCTCACAACTGGGAGTT